TGAATTATGTGATACTTTACCTGGGAGAACATTAGCTTTACATTCATCCTATCCTATATCATTACATTGCCATGGTTACAATTCCCTACATGGTTACATACACCTCACAAGCCTGCCCATTGGTTGTCACCACACAGTCCTTCTCCCTCTCTGGGTTTAGAGTTCCCAGCTACTCCATCTCTCCATGTCATCATCTCTGCCTCCATCTCTGGCATCACTGTTTCTATGAGTAGGGTCCAGCTCTCTGCTCTGCTCCCTTGATGGTCCCAGGGTCCTTTTCTCTTAGACTACAAAGTCAACCACTCCCCTCTTTTTGCTACAAAATGTCTACCTTTACATTTCCAACCCTCAGTCAGTCCTGATAGTAATTTTTCACTATTGTACCACATGAGTGCTATCCCATCTCCTTTCATCAGCCTTGCCCAGACAGATTGGAGACTACTCAGTGGAGATTCTACCTTCCTCTGTATCCTCTGGACCTAGGCTCCCTGTTGAAAGCTTGTAAGCCAGTCACTTCTTACCTTTGTAGCCTCCCCCCCACCCCGCCCATTTTGGGTATCCAATGGCCAGGTTGCCCATCCCTGTCTACCCTGTGTATCAAGGGGGTGGGAGTGACCCTTGCTATAAAGATTTCTTCCCTCTTTTGAGCTACTGAATCCATGGGTGTAGGTCAAGTTCATCAAACTGTATCAGATTACTATTTTTTTCCTTTTCTTTCTTTTTCTAGTTGAGCTCTAATCATCCAGTCATTGAAGCCAGGTCCAGTGAGTATTATCTGCAAGTGTGGGTGTTCTTGTGCATATGCCCTCTCTTCTTATCAGCTGGATGCTTCGTTCTTCACTTTAGTCCTCTGTGGTTATGTCACTGACTCTGGTCCAAGGAGTGCCCAGGTTTTGTCAAACTGCTGGCCAACCAGTTCTCCACCCGAGTTCGCAGGAGTGTATTGAATGAGGTTGGACTTAGCTCGCTGGTTCATTGCTGTTTTGCCCTCAATTCCCCTTATCGGTGACCAATGTGGTCACCAGTCAGAGCACATGTCTGCTCATGTATTCCCATTGAGTGTTAGTCTTGGAAGGGGGTTTGCCCTGAGGAGACCCAACTGCTTGCCTTGATGTCTCCTGGGCGAGCACTTGCTTGTTCTTGTAGTAGTCAGTTGGTGTTGTTAAGTGTCGTCAAGTGGGTTCCGACCCATAGCGACCCTGTACAGGGTTTCCAAGGCTGTAAATCTTTACGGGAGCAGAAAGCCTCATCTTTCTCCCATGGAGCAGCTGGTAGTTTCGAACTGTAGGACTGTTGTTATTGTTTTATATTTTTCCTGTCATTCTTTCTTTCAAGAAGTATCTTATATTCTTTTAGCTGCTCCAGGCTGGTCTGCTTATCCTTTCCAGTGGAAATTTCTCACCTCAGAAAATTCTGGATGCTGTTCAGGATTCCACCTATGGTTTTATGTAATACAGAGGCTCCGCAGGAAGCCTCCTTCACTGGGCTTTGTAGCCCCATTTAGGTGTTCCAATCAGTTATAGGCAGAAGACGGACATATAAGCTTGCTATGGTGATATTTCTGGCTATTTCTTTCTCTCACCCTCAAATGTCTATTTTATAATGGTATGCCAGGGAAACCAAGATTCAAAAATAGCCAAGCATCTTAACATTATTTCCCCTCTTTTGCCATTCCAACTATGTCTCAATCCCTGTATCCCAGAACCCTGTTTTCCAAGGTTGTGCATACAACATTATTTACCTCTGTCCCACTTAGGCCATGCAAACCTGCTTAATTGTTTTCCCACCCATTTTGTTCTTCCATTTCTCGCCCTGTTCTTGTGTAATGCCCCCCTCCCTAGCATCCAAACTATCCTGTGTCTATTCCCTACCCTGTGCTCCACCTTCCCCTACCTCTCCTCATCCCAACCCCCACATCCTAGTAACCAGCAATGAATCCTCCCGTCCCCCTTTAGTATGGGTTCTTTTTCTTCGTTTTTTACGGTAGTGGTCCTGTGCCGTATTTCTCCTTTTGTGACTGACTAATTTCACTCAACATAATGTCCTCAAGGTTCATCCATGTTATGCGGTGTCTTTCAGCTTCCATGTTCATACACTTCGTTTTATCACAATGATTACAGTACCCTCTGGTAGCGTAGTGGTTACGAATCGGGCTGCGAACCTTAAGGTCAGTGGTTCGAAACTACCAGCCGCTCCGCGGGAGAAAGATGAGGCTTTCTACTCCCGTAAAGATTTACACCCTCGGAAACCCTGTACAGGGTCGCTATGGGTCGGAACCGACTCCAAGGCACTTAACAACAACAACAACAACAACAACAGTACCCTCAATGTAACATCACTTATCTCCCTTCCTCCCTATTGTTCTTGTTTCGATTCCTCCTTCTTTTTCCAAGATTCTGAATTTTGTACTTAAGTAAAAGTTGCCCTTTTGATCTTGAGTGGTTGACCATTCTAGGGTGTATACTCCATTAACGTTGTTGTTCTTCCTATATAGCTGTCTATTGTTTGCCTGAAAACTGAGCCAAGGAGCAAGTTAGGTTCCAGACCTGTAGGTCTTGGGGTACCACTTGTTTTTTCTAACCAGTGTTCCTGACCTTTTTTTAAAAAAAAGTATTTGAGTTTCCCCCACTGAATCCAGTACCTTCTAATTTGATCCCTTTTAGAGCAGCTGGTAGTGGTAGCTGATCATCATTTAGTTCTTCTGGTCAAAGGGTTATGGAGATCCATGACTCCTTTGGACTAATTGTTTCAAAGTGTGCAATTGTCTTCAATTTCCATCACTTTTCTTTCTTCCAGATAGGGAGACGCTAATAGTTGCACCTTGCTTGGGCACTCCTGAGCTTTTGAGATCCCAATTGTTACTTACTAAGTTAGGATGCAGAATCCTGGTGTGGTGCTGTGGGTTAATGTGCTGGACTGCAAAGTCAGTTTGAATTGCAAATTTAGTGATTCAATCTCACCAGCTACTCCTTGGAAACCCTTTACAGGGTTGCTATGGCCCGGAATTGATTTGCTAGCACTTAGCAACAACAATAACAAGGTAGGATGTAGGAACATTGTCTTTGTGGACTGTGTTATGCCAATTGATCATGATGTCCCCTGAGACTATGGTCCTGAGCCCCCAGACCCAGCAAATCATTCCCTCAAGGTGTTGGTAATGTCTAAAAAGCTTCTGTAAAGTTGCCCCATGTACACTCCACTTATGATATAGTTGAGGCAGAGGTAAAAACCCACATACAAATATCTTCTGTTCAACTTTTATATATCTATGGGTATACTGTTACCTTCCCTCCAGACTCATTCAACCTATGTGTCTAACGATGCATGTACCATTGATCACTGCTACTGCAGGATTCAAAGTGAAAAGATACACTGTTAATAGTAACTAAACACTCAAGTATCTTATCAAGGTTTGCCTAACTAGTGTAGTTTCAACAATATGATGCATTTTATAGCAAATTTTTCAGAGTGGCAAAAAAAAAAAAAAAGAAGTTACATAAAAACTCACCAAGAGCAGACTGTGGAACAGACCATCAATTGCTCATATGAAAGTTCAGTCTGAAGCTGAACACAACCACAACATTTCTATATTTCTTTTCATAGAAACTGAAAACTAGGTTCTGGGGAAAGGTAGGGACAACAAAGTGGATACCTGGTTATTGCTTTCAATGTTTTCAATCAAGTACTGAGATTTATGTTTCAAATTTTGGAGGGTCACAAGTGGGGTTGTGGCTTGCCTTTCCAGGTATCTGAGATTTAAGAAGAAATCATGTGTAATTTTCAAGGAGTTACAGATTCTATTTTCTCTATGCTTTCTAGGTAGAATTCTTCCAGTGCAAATACAGATTTTAACTTTTGTCTTCTTCAAAAGCCTTCCTGCCATTAAAATGTGTAAATACACATTATCTGTATTAACATATAGTTACTGAACATTAGCCATTAAGTGTGTAATTGGTAGAGATTTTTTCTCTTTGAAACTGTTGGAGTTCAGTTTCTTCCATTTAGGAAAAGGGTATTTGTAGTATCCTATAAACTCTCTTTAAGGAGCTCTGGTAGCATAGTGGTTATGAATCGGTCTGCAAACATCAAGGTCAGCAGTTTGAAACTACCAGCTGTTCCATGGGAGAAAGATGGGGCTTTTGCTCCCATAAAGATTTCCAGCCTTGGAAACCCTGTACAAGGTTGCTGTGAGACGAAACTGACTCCATGGCACATAACCATCACCACCATAAACTCTATTTAGTGTACTTGAATGGAAAATTTGTGTTTTTTGTTGTTGTTTTATTGTTGTTACTTGAACCAGTAGATGGTTTCAAAGAAGTAAGTTTAGCCCACCATTGTGTAGGGTCATCTGGGGCTGCCTAGCTTCTTCTCTGTGTTATTCAAATTTGACACTAAGTAGGTTAATAGCACAAGAAGCAGCTTGTCCACAATCTTGAGATCACGTATCAGGATTATCTACACATTTTAAACAGTCTTTATTATTGATTCTCAACTCTTTCAAAGTTTAAAATATGGCTAAGTTATATACAAGAGTAAAGTCCTAGAACAATGATAGTTTAACATACAGAGGGCATGACATTTGATTATATCTAAGCTTCTTCAAATGCCAAGAAGAATCTGAAGAAAGATATTTGATATTGACTTTTAAAAGGTCCACATAGATAAAATTAATAAATGTTATTAAAGTTTATTTTAGAGATATTGATTCTAAAGTAGAAATGCACCCACAAAGAAAGTCCCATGATAAAGGCGAATGTGTAAATTCCTTTAAAACCCATAGTTACTGTAATTATATGGAGCGTTTTACAAGCAACTAGGGACTTCTTTAGATAATCAAACCAAACTCTTTGCCATCAAGTCAATTCCGATTCCTAGCAGCCCATAGGATGGAGTAGAACTGCACACAGGGTTTCCAAGTTGGTAATTTCCAGGGAAGCAAACTACCAGATCTTTCTCCCAGTGAGTAAGCCTGGTAGCTTCCTACTGCCCACCTCTCTTTAATAGCTTAGTGCTTTAGTCATTGCATCAGGAAGGGTCTTCTGCTTTGGATTAATAACTGACATTGATTCAATTTTTGCCACATACTGTCTTTTTTCCCACTTTGCCTTTCCAGAACACTGTTTATCAGGCAGACCTGTTCAGATAGTGTACCGTCAGTATCACATTTGATCTGTCTTTGAGCACTTTCCAAAAGAAAGGCTTCCACAGATCTCCTAGAAGGTAAAGGAACAGGATGACTGTTCTCAATAGCACATGGCCTTTCCCAGCACACTCCATTCTCAGCAAACTTAATTCAGTTCTACAGTCTGGATTTTATAATCACATGGAGCATTATGTATGAAATGCATAAAACATTGATGTGCTAATGTTGCCACCAGAGACTATCAGATAAAGAAATCGGCATATCCCTTTGTACCCTTAGGACATAAGTGTTTCCCATGAACCTCTTTAAAAAACAACTCACTTCATTTCTAAGCATTTTGGATTCTATTTATATTAAGTGGTCTAGGCCTGCCGGTCTACTGAAGGGAAATCTGAGTTTGATGTACTTTTTAAAGCAAGGAGGAACTGGAAAAATAATCACATATGATGAATGTGAAAATTAAGCTACCTCTAGAGTTTATGTTTTACAAGTATGAAATCGATCAGTTTATCTCCCAGCTGATTTAAAACATATCTGATTATTTCTGATGGTTCAAGATGTAATGGTCTGAAAGTCTAAATAGAATTCATAGAGCTTACCTTTATTAAAACCTGAGGATCTGAAGATATAACTGTCTAGATTGATTACTATTTTTGCTGCAGAGAAAAATAGCAACCCTGAGTTACTGCTCGGTGCTCACATCTTCATTAATGTGCTTAATATGTTTCTGTCCCTAGAGCAAATTAATGGGTTTTTTTTTTTTCTTCTACTTCTTTGGTATTGTAGTTCACTTAAAGTCAGATTCTTTGAACATAGCTGGATTGCAGTGTGACATCTGAGTCCTAGAGATCAATTGATAGTTGTTAGAGATCCTGAAGAATGGCCCATTAAAACAGTTAGTATATGACAAATAACAACGTTTGTGTTTAGTGTGGAAATTTATCAACTAGACAGAGCACTTATTCCTGAGACTCGAATGAAAGTCTACTTGAGCCAACTTATTAATCAGTCAGTGCCCTAGTCTTAACAGACTGTCTTATTAAAGAGCTTGAGATATATTAAAATTGAACTCTAATGTGATAGGTACTATCCCTGAACCCCAATCACAAAACACACAATTATTACTGAACACTAAATTCTACAGAAAAGAAAAAGAAGGCTTCTTTTTTAAGAGCTGCAATGCTTTTTCGCAAATATTTTACTCTGATTAAGCACAATGTCTATCACAAGATATCTGTTGCTATGGTCAATTCTTTCATCAACTCTACATTTAAGGCACAATCATATATCGAGATATCATGACCAACTTCATGACATGGTAATCGTGTGTCCTGTGTATATTTATATAGACTATGCTGTAAAGCCTTTTTTTATTTGCAAAGCTTTTTCAAGACAAAAATGAAGCATTACCAAGGGGAAGGAGAAAAGATTGATCTGGCTGGCAAATGGTTTAAATGGTCAGAAAGGCCTTCTGGATCTAGAAGAAATCATCACAACTTCTCATACCCCATGGAGTCTGTGCTGATGGAAGCCCTTGAGAGCACAGAGTCACGGGACGTTGTTGTTGTTGTTAAGTACCGTCGAGTTGGTTCTGACCCATAGTGATCCTGTATAGTGTTTCCAAGGAGCACCTGGTGAGCTTGAACCACCAACCTTGCAGTTCAAACCAACTTTGCAGTCCTGCGTATTAACCCATAGCGCCACACTAGAACTCCAGAATCATGGGTTAGAGCAATGATAATAGCTGGGTAGAATATCATTTCAAACAGACAATGCCAATCAGTGAGTATTGATTGTTTCTGTGTGCTGGGTTGAGAAGGATGCTTGAGGCAGTTTAGGCACAGAGAGAAAGCATGCCATATCTTAGTGATATTTGCATGGATATCATTTTAGCTCCATAGTGAAAGAGAGTTGTTGGCTTCTAATTTTTGCAGACCACTCTTGGAATGGGGCATCCTTTCATCACTGGGAGGGGAAAAGTGCATGTGTTAGAAAGCAGCCAATAGCTGCTTGATGTAGTCAATGACTCTTCTAGTAGAATGCTGTTAATATATGCCCAGTATCAATCAGCATTAAATGGTTTACCAAACACCAACAGTGACCTAAATGAGAATCTACTTTTTTTTTTTTATCCAAGTTTTTAAACCTTGATATCTAGAATTGAAGAAAATAGTATTGAAAGAGTCTTAAGCCCAGTCTTCAACATACTATAGAGATCTGTTTTAAAAAGTCTTTGGCATACTAGTATAACTACTTGGAGGGGAAACATCCCCTTCAATGCAGCCCATTTTTTGATAGTCAAGTTTTGGTTGTTATTGTTGCCAGCATGTGCTGAACGTTTATTACAGTGCAGTCAAAAAGACAGTGGTTTTCACTTATCAGAAACTCAACTCTACCTCAGGTCACATGAGGACCTGGCTCTTGAACTGGGAGGGCGAGGAGGCGCAGGTAAGGGGTCCCCAAACCCCACTTCAGAGACCCACTCACAGCTGGTTGAGGGAAGTACTACTGGGTCCATGGTCCATCTAAGAGGAGGTGACCTCTAAAGTTTTTGAGCAGCATGATCACAAAGAAGAGTGGCAGTGAAGGTGAGCCCCTCCCCTGACATGGAAGAGTCTAACCCTTAAAGTGCTAGGCCTCTTTCCACAGACCAACAACCTACCCTAGTCTCACACAATAGAAAGAAACCCAGGAATGCCCTCTCTCCACCCCTCCTCTGCTCTGGGGCTCCAGTCAATTCTGAGTCCTTAGTTTTGGGCCCCTCATGATAAAGAGTGTTCATATTCACTCCAGGGCACAGGAAGAACTAGGTTATCTGTAACCATCCTGCCCAGGGACAGCTGTGTAGGTCACCTTCCCCCACCTGTGTAAACACACACACACAGGGTTAGATGGTGAAATTGAATTGTGACTGGTGTGAAGGCCTTATCACACCACAAACTTGTTCCTGGTACTCTTGGTGGTTGTGTCTGCATAGGTCTAGTAACCATTAGTGGATTTTTTGAGAGGCTTCGGTGTTCTTTGTATACACGCCCAATGTGCAGCTCACTGGTCTGGTTCTCCACCTTCTGTGTCCATACCGAGATCTTGTCTCCCTTGGTGCAGATATTGATGTCAGCCCCACACACCTCCCTACTGTGTTCCTCAAAGCTTTCACCTATCAGACTCAGCAGTGTCTCTAACCAGAGATGATCCAGCTTGCTGTGGTGCTGGTGGTTGGCCAGGCAGACCAGCCAGCGGCCACCCCACTTATTCCTGCTGTCTTCCCACATGGGCTGGATGCAATCATTGAACAGGGTATAGTCACAGCTGGAAGAGAGCTTACTGGCCCATTGGATATGACTGTACGTCGACCAGAAGTGCTTCATAGAGTGCATCAATAGAGCCCACCTATTCTCCACCTCCACTGTCTCCACTTGGTCCTCATCCCAGGCTTGGGCCTTTCTCCTCAGAGGCAGCGAAGCCATGGAGGTAACTTTTGGAGCCCCATTCTCCTCTTCCACCAACATCCTCTCTGCTGCCTTCTCCTCCTCCTCCTTCTCTCACTTGGGGATTCCACCCTCAGACTCTTTTGCAAGGCTGGTAGTAGCCATGCTAGTCTCAAACCCCATAGGATCCAGCACCAGTAGTCTAGTTTTTAAAGGAGCCATGGTGTGGTGCTGTAGGAAAAGCACTGGAACCACAAAGTCAGCAGTTCAAACCAAGCTTCTCCTTGGAAACCTCATTCAGGGTTGCTATGAGTCGGAATACCACTACCACCACAATGGTTGTTAAAAATGGACTCAGTTAAAACTGACCTTCTTGTCAATTTGACATTGTGATGAGGATCTAATCTCTTGAAGAATGCAAACACAATTCTGCTCTTTCTTCTGCCTGGCAGTTCACCAAGTATTTACACATACATACACACATTTTCTTTATAGTTTCTTTTTTAAGCAGTTTATTCAAGTTTCCTAGACTTCCTGTATCCAAAACAAAGCTTTTGACATCTGTCTGAGAGTTTCTTTACATATGTCCAAGTATCACATCGGCATCTTTTTATTCATGACAGAAAATGAAGGATTTGCGTAGTACCCCATTTCCTTTTTCTCAATCACAACCAATCCATCAATAAATTCTGTTGAGACTGCCTCCAAAATGTCTTTATCACTCGCTTCTGCTACTTCAATGGACTGGTTTTTTTTTGTTTTGTTTTTTGACCGGATTGGCAAGTTTTCATTCAATGGCACATTTCTAGGTGCATGGAAAAGACAGAAGCTAATGTAAATGTTATTACTATTTTTTAAAAAGCAAACATCTATTAACCAAGTGCTGCAACAATAAAAAGAAAATCTAAGACAGAAAAGGAGACATGAGACAACCACAGAGAACTAGCCATCCAATGTTGAATTTCTATTGTAGAACTTTCCTTCCAGTGAAATGTTAAACACCATTGGAGAGCAAATTATGACTTGAAGCAATGAAGCTAGAGGTGCTGACTTGGCCAGATGCATTAAACTCAATGATACACTTGAAGGTGAAGGATTGTATATGTAATATCCCAGCAGGACAAATGTGGTTTGGAGCCTATCCTTCAATATGAGGGCCAACAACAGTAGGGTAAATTATCTGATATGCCTAAATAATCTCAACACGTACTATCTGCAATAGCCGTATAATCTCTAGTCTCACTCCAAATTATTCACAAAAAGGTAAAATGATCTTTTAAATATATTTATAGCATCTTACCTGCTCTTCTGTTAAATTTTTTTTTTTTTTTTTTTAAATAGCTTCTTCTGATACTTTGAATGGAAATCTGCATGTGTACCAAAGAAGTTATCTGGTTTTGCTTTGTTTTCACATTATTCAGAGCTCATTTATTGCTTTATTCTAGTCACATTCTCTTTTCCATTCCTCAAATTTACCAAGCTCTTTTCTATCGTAGGGGTATTGATTTTGATACTTCACACATGCTATTCTCACTGCTAGATATGAACTCCAAACCCCTTATACCTTTTTAATCATTTAATTTAAATGCTCTTCCCTGACTACAGGACTCATTCCATTTAAAGTATTCCAGTTTATTTTATTATAGCATACCCTTTCCTTTCTCATCACTGTTACCACATTTTTATTTGTTTGATTATTTAAAGTCAATCTTTTTCTCTGGACTTAAAGTCCACTAACAAAGGATAAAACATAATTTTATATGTTTTTATTTTCTCTGATTATCTCCTACTTAAGCACAGTTCTTGCCACCAGGAATCAATAAATGTTTGCTGAAATATAACTTTAGTGTTCCATATCAATTATTTATTAAACCTTCCCTTGTTGTTGTTGTTGTTGTTAAGTGCCGTCGAGTCGGTTCCGACCCATAGCGACCCTGTACAGGGTTTCCGAGGGTGTAAATCCTTACGGGAGTAGAAAGCCTCATCTTTCTCCCACGGAGCGGCTGGTAGTTTCGAACCGCTGACCTTAAGGTTCGCAGCCTGATTCGTAACCACTATGCTAGGCCTAACACTAGTTCTTTCATGACTTCTTTTATGACATGGTTTAAAACCCTTCACCAACTTAACCTTATATTTTTGAAATGTGGTTTTGTTAATGTTCTCTTTTAAATGTAGAGTAATCCTTGCAATACAACTGATGTGATCTAATAGCTGTATAATGTAATGACACCATTCTTTACGCTATCCTTACAGTATCTATTAATTTAGCCTAAGGTGTTGACATGTTCTGTCATATCTCACTATCAGGGTATTAAGTTTATGATTAACTAAAGTCCATAAACTTTTTCCTTCTAAGGTGGTTTCTAGCTTTAAAAGCCAACAAACAAAAAACCTCATTCTAAGCTTGCCTATTTAGTATCTCTAATTGATGTACCAACCATCAATCTGAGATGGTTATACTATGGTGGCTTGCATGTTGCTGAATGCTATGCCACTGATATTTGGAACACCGTCTGAGGCACCCATGGTAGACACGTTTCAGTGCAGCTTCCAAACTAAGACAGACTAGGAATACAGAAATGGTGAAAATTGTTTTAAGTGGCGTTGAATCGGTTCTAATCCATAGCAACCGTGCATATAGAATATCTGAGGAGCATCTGGTGAGCTTGAACAGTCAACCTTGTGGTTCAAACTGACTTGGCAGTCCAGCACATTAACCCACAGCATCATACCAGGACTTCTGAAAATTAACCAAGGAAAATCCTATGGATCACAGCAAATAGGGTTGAAGATAAGCCCCCTATGCTGAAAAGGCACTCAAAATGCAAAGTGGATGCAACAATCACCTCTGAGCTTACAAATGATCATGATTATAGCACAGGATAAGGCAACTTTCCTATTCTCTTGTATTTGGGATGACCATGCGTCAGAGTTGACTTGATGGCAACTAACAATGATGCACGTATTATATGCTTATCCTGTCCTAAGTTATATTTGATTTTTATCATGTAATTTATATAAAAATGTTTACTTTGTTCACATTGAATGTAGAAAGAGAGATGGCCAAAGATAGAACTCTGTGTCACATCGTGGGAGGACCACTCACTTTCTCCACTCCAAGATCCATACTCTTTGATTTCTAACCATGTTGTTGTTGTAAAGCGGCAGCAAGTCAGTTGCAATTCTGTACAGTTTCTGAGGAATGATAATATATATTTTACATGAGCTTATTTTACTTTTTTGGGAGAAAGATGAGGCTTTCTGCTCCCATAAAGATTTACATTCTCGAAACCCTATACAGGGTCGCTATGAGTCAGAACCGACTCCACGGCACATAACCACCACCACCATTTTAATTTTTAGAAAATTTATTTCAGCACTTTTAAATATATTGGTAAAGGTGTGGTGAAATCCAAAGAAACAGTTTCCATTATGTTGATTCAAATTCTAATCCATCCAAAATATGTTGTTGTTAAGCACCGTCAGTTGGTTCCGACACATAAAGACCCTGTATAGGGTTTCCAAGTAGCAGCTGGTGAGCTTGAACCACCGACCTTGCAGTTCAAACGACTTTGCAGTCTGACACATTAACCCACAGTACCACACCAGGACTACATGTATTTTATTTTCTAAAGAATTGAAATGGGTGCCATGCCTCAATTATTCAAAAAATAATTTAAAGATCAAAAGTCAAAAATTAACAAAAAAAAGTCAAAAATTTTGAAGTTTATAATCATTGTTTTTTATTAAATTCAGCTGAATGCAGTCATATGTTCAATAATATATATATATATTCTAGAAGGCCTAGGAAACAAAATAGTAAGTAGGTTTTATTTTCATGTACAATTATTGCCTTGTTTAAAGAAATAAAATTAATGGATACAATTTTTAAAACTCATGATTATTTCAGCTTTTATAGCACTAGTCACTAGAAAAACTAATAGTTTCAACTTCATCCAGAGAACATTTGTGGAGCTGTACCTCTATGAATAGCTAAGGAGAAACACTACTCTAAAAGGCAGTCTTGGCATGGTGGATTGTTGAAAACAGTGGCAAAGACAGAGATGAGATTCTACTAGATGGATGAGAAATTTACATATCTAACTGACTTTCTTATCAATGAAGCACCTTGTGTTTTAAACAAAAAAAATCTGTGTTTGTATTTAAGATGACATTGTCTTGTGAGCCATTGCAGGATATGGAGATGTAGGAAAAAAATTGTTATGGGTTTATAAAAGAAGTGTAAACCTGGAACCTTCCCTCAAAAGTCTTTCAAAGTAATAAGCAAACACCACTATAAAAATTAATGGGGGATAAAATGAATGTTATATATAATAGAAGGAGGGAAGTAGGAAAAAGAAGGCAAAGAGGATTAGAGTAATTGAAGAAAAATTTCAATGAAGAGAAACAAACTGGCTCATAAAGCATGGGTGATGTTTAATATTTGATTGTTGAGTGATATAGGACTACAGTAAAAGAAAACATACAGGAGGATTTTGTTGTGAAAATAATTTTTAAAAAATATAAATCTCATGTGTAACAACAACTATTTATTTAACACATGTGTCTGTGTTAAATTTTAAATGGTCTTTTTATATATCATTTCATTTATCTGAACAACCAACAGAAGAGGTTGGTTGGTTGGTTATGTGCCATTGAGTCGGTTCCGACTCATGGAGACCCTGTACACAGTTTCCGAGGCTGTAAATCTTTAAGGAAGCAGAAAGCCTCATCTTTCTCCCACGGAACAGCTGGTGGTTTCAAACTGTTGATCTTGAGGTTCGCAGCCTGATTGTAACCACTATACTACCAGAGCTCCTTCAACAGAGGAGGTAGGTATTAGTAAAATATTAGTTTCTTTCCCATTTTATAGATGACATCCCATTCTAATGATACTTAGAGGTTTAAGTAACTTGCTTAATGTCTCCCAGGTCCTAAATAGCAGTTCCTGGAATAGAACATAAATCTGACTGGTTCTGAATCTATATGCTTAATATCTAAGCTTTATTGAAGTAAATCTTTGATATGTATCCAAATTAACTGCTTATATTCACTTGTATTAATCAGAGTCATGACAGATG